CACTCACGCTGAGATCCAGCCAGAACCTAGTTCAGATAATCCCTATGTCCAAGCTCAGACTGAACAGGAATTGCAACCCTCAGCAACTAAGGAGAAAATCTCTATTCCACCAACAAAGATGGCTAACGAAAAAAGAAATTCTCCAAACCAAGATTATACCACAGAGAAAATAGAGGACAACAACTCAAATCTAGTACAAAAGACAAACACCTCATCTCCTGATTCAAAACTTTCTGAACCAGAAGGCAAAACTATAACAACAGATACACAGAAAAACAAAAAAAGGAAGAATAAGAAAGGAACACACGAGAATGATATAGTAATGACAGAGGCAACTACCTCTGAACAAGGCTCCTCTTCTCATTAGGCTATAAAGTAGACCTGAAAGGCAATCCAAAAAAAAATCTCTGGCAGGAACTAACTAAAAAAGATAGAAGATCTCTCACGTCACAACTTATCTTTTAAAGTAAAAATTCTAGTAGCCAAATCACTAATTCTATCTAAAATCTAGTATTTAGCGTATATCCTCTCTCTAACAAGAAAACAACTTAATGAGATTAACAAGCTAACTACAAACTGGATCAAAAATAATTCAAGAATCCTACTAAAATTCTCTATTTTCTAACTAGAACTAGAACAAGGAGGCTTAGCAGCCCTAATCTAAAAAACATGTTGGATACAAGACTAATTTCAATCTGGTTAAAGCTTCTCTTGAGTAATACTTTCTGAGCATAAACAGAAAGAATGATAATTACACAAGAGCTTCAAAAGAAAAGAGGGATACAGTTCAGCTAGTCTTACAACAAATCCCAATTAAACTAAAGGGCTAGCTAGAAAAATGGAGACCATATGTCACTGCTTGGAAAAGAATTCAGAGACAAATAAATACAGATAAAACGTAGCCCTGGCTACTAGAAAATATAAAACTAGGCAACTTAACTAGCAATATCTACTTAGTAAGAGTAGCAATAAGCATCTTAGGAAATACAAACATTATAAACTCAAGCAATAACCAAATAGACAATGACAAAAACTTCAGCTAGATTAAAACCAAATAGATTCTGAATAAGAAAAAGGATATCTTCTGGAGAATGCAATACAGAGCTTTTCTTTTAGATTACCACCTAGTACATCTGAGCTAGGATATACTAAGTGAATATCCTAATTGCTCAGATATAACACAAACATTAGAGTATTTTACACTAAAATGCAATATTAGTAAAAGCATATAGAGGACAACTTACAAAGCACTATCAAATATATCAGAGAGCGACTTGCAAAAGAATATTAATGAAATACTTCAGGCAATGAACATTGAGAATAAACAAAAAAAGAAGGTAGCAATCTGGCTATATATCAACGCTATATATGAAATCTGGTACTAGTACACTCAGGCTAAATAGGGGAATAATATTATTTCAGAAAATCTTATAGAAAATATAATAAAAATTAGACTTAGAAACTTTCTAAAAGTTCTCCAGAATCTAACATGCAAAAATTCTAGATCAAAAAAGACTAAATGTTTTAGTGAGATAATTAACTTTAGTATTTAATTATCTTATACTCTAAACAATATAACTCTGTAATTATACTGTAAATAAATTTATAATAAAGACACAAATAGCATAAAGAGGTTAACCTCTAAAAAAAAAAAAAAAAAAAAATCTTTTAGCTCGTTTAGAAATTAAAAATTTTCTTAACTCATTTCTATACTGAGGAATAGTTAAAAGCTAAGCAATTGTTATATTTGATTTGAAGTATAATAGATCAGATACTATAGAATATAGCATTGTCTTTTGTTCAATTAGAGGTTTCTCAGAGAATGCTAACTTTCTTTTAGCCTTTTTGCCTTCAGAAGGTTTACCAGTTATAATCTTTACATTTTTCAGCTGTTCTATTTGATTGTTTGGTTAGTTAGTATCTATCTTATCTGCTTCAGTTCTTCTTTTCTTTCTATAGCTTAATTCAACTCATCTACTTTTTCTTCTATAAACGAGGAGTTTTTATTAAAAAAACACACTCCTACCCTCTAAAGATATGTTTGGTAGTTTAAATGCTCTGATGAAAAAATATTTTGTTCAGGTTGCATATTAACTTGTTTATTAATTAATACAAATATTTGATTATCAGATTGATATTGTTGGAGTTGATTTAATTGAGTAAAATTATGTTAGTTAGGAATAGTATTATTAACAGGATTTTGGATTTGTTGAGTCTAAGGTATTTGTTGTTGAGTAGTTTGGACTTGTAGTTGAAGATTGGATTGGTTTATTCCTAGCATATTTTGTAAGATATTTTGTACTTTATTATTTTGAGTATTGTTATCATTCAAAAGACAATGCCAAGAAATATATCCTTGTTGTCTGCATTTATAATAAGTAGGTATATTTTGTTGATTACGATGTCTATTATTATTATTATTATCATAGTTATTATTTCTGGGCTGATAATTATTTTGACAATTTTGATTATTAAGACCTCTATAATTATTAGAAGGTTGGTTTGTATTATTTAAGTTAATATTTCTAAGAGCTTGAATTAGTCTATTGAGAAGTTGATTTAAGTCAGTATTATTATTGCTTTGTTGTATAGTAGGATTATAGTTTTGAATTACTGGAATAGAGTTTATACTTGGTTAGCAAAATCTATTTAAAGCTTTAGAATATGCTATATTATTTTCCTCTATTTGTCAAGCTACTTCAATAGCCTGTTCCATAGTAACATTATTGTGAAATGTAAGATGTGGTTTTAATTGAAAAGTAATTTCACATCAAAGTTCTTTAGTAAAGTTATAAACTTTATCACTTTCAGCCCAATTATTTTGATAATCAACATGTTTAATTAGACGTTTAATATCTAATGCATACTGGTCAACAGATTCAAAGGGTCCTTGAACTCGATTTTGTAATTCACTTCTCCATTGTAAAAGTTTTCCTTG